ATAACTTTACGTAACCGCGGCAAGTGTGCAGAGATAAAAGTTGCCCCCTCGTATAACGAGATTACTCGATGACCATGATAGATTCTGCTTCGTTACACGGTTTAACCCTTTCGCTATACGCAGTCGAAAAGGGGGCGCACTGCACGCCGGCGTGTCACTCGAATTACACACCTCGTGTGTTGTCCGCTTTTATAGATACAGCTGACTAGTGAGTTACATGCAAAAGAAGGATTCCAAGCTCTTACGAGTTTATGTCGTTGACGCAATTTGAGGCTTCTTGGTGTAAGCCGGTGTTCAATAGAAATTACACTCTGACGTTTTGCTGCCTGCAGTAGAATAAGTCTGCCGCTGCAGTAGAACGGGCTGCTCTGTTACCACATAGTGGAAATATACATCTATTGCAGACTTTATTCTTGTTGGAGAGTAAATTGCTCGTGTACCATTCTCCGCACAGTTTTCAAATAATCTAACCACTTTGTCCTTTTTGATTAGAATTTCACGTTTTGTCAAAAATGAAAAGTAATACAATTTCAGTTTTAGGTAGTTGGGATAAGTAAGAGGAGTACAATGAGAGTTCACCAAATATCCACCTATTACTACACATAATAGCAGTTCACGTTCGAAGAAGTGAGACTTTAATCGTTTCAATAAATGGAGTTCTACGGTACTTGCAGGCACGCCGGATGATATCATAAAATATTACTGCTGAAACGTCAGCATATAATTTCTATTCCAATCTCCCATTGGATTACACGCCATAATCTCATATTGTAACAACGTTTACAATAGTTGCGTCTGGACTATAATTACTTCTATAGCGAGAGGGTCAAACACTAATGTGAACATGAAGAAAAGAATGAAATTCGAGAGCTCTTCATAGTCTCAAAGACTATACATTCACCACTGTAGTTGTAACAGAGAATTGTTCTTTTTTCTTTTCTTTTTCTCTGTGATTTGCAAACAATTGATGATACCGTTGTATTGTCGTGTTGCCCTCTTTTCCGTCTTGTCGGCGGATATTTAATTAATATAATTGGATGAGAAGCGCGTATTTTGCGATATCGGCCCCCCGCGTCTTTTATCGCGTTTGTTTGGATTCGCGGCGCACGTGCAAAGTAACGCGGAGAGCAGCTTGGTATAACGAGCCGAGCGTTAATTGGCCTTCCTCGTTCTTCTGACTTAAGTGCGCTGAAATGAACGGTGTTTGATGCACCGGAGATACACAAAGTCGCGCAAACCCTGCAACGCAAACCCTGTGTGTGTCTCTTTCAAAAGCTTGAAAAATTGGTTGTTAGCTAAGTTGGCAAAGAGAGAAAGAGGGAGAAAGTGTGTGTAACGAAGCTAGTTATATCTATATTAACGAAACATTTTTATAAAGATCTTGCCGGCATTGTATGTCGGATACAGTGTCGTCGTTAATGTTACTTCGTCCTGTATCTTGTAACTCAAAGCGATGGAATTCGATTACGTGGTAAACCGAGCCGAGCGGAAGTTACTGAAAGTGGGGTGGGATTGAAAGAGACGAAAATACAGAAAGTTCATAAACAAGGGAATAAGCACTTCAGCTTAAGAAATGCATATACCTTGATTTATATTATTATCATTATTATATTAACTTATGTTTATATTTATATAATATTTATATTATATTAACTTATGTTTATATTTATATTATATTATATTTATATATAATATGTAAATAAATATATATTTGTATAATATGTATATAAATATATATATGTATTATATTTATATATATTTATATCAAATGTAGTATAATATAAATTTATATTATTTACATCATATTATATAGATTTATAGATTATAAATTTATAGATTTTAGAGAATTTTATAGGTTATAGATTCATAGATTGATAGATAGATTTATATTATATTACCTGTTGTGAAAAATGTTATGGGTATATGTATATTGAATGGGGTATACATATTCTGATGATGTTAATCTTCGAGGTAAATGAAAATGGTAATATTAGATGAGACACTCTTTTATACGTTACGTATATCTTATGTAAAATATCAGGATAATTTCATGGTTATAAAAGGCAATATGTACCAATATTTAACAAGTACCAGTCTTGTTCCACTACTAATATTAATATCATTCCAAACAATACTAGCAGATATTGGCTCGAACACGCGAAACCAGCACGATTTCTGCTTAGTCGAATACGAATTCGTGCACGCTACGCGGAAACCGGCCGAATGAATTATTCCATCGGTTAGTCAACGATTATTATCCGTCTTAGAAACGTGTTCTCTCGTTATACATAATTTTATCAGGATTCCCAAGTAGGGGTAGGATCGAGTCCAATTCGTATGTGTTATGAATCTCACGTCATTCCAATTTGGTATTTCGTTTCGTGGGTCAGGTTTAGGTTAGGTTTAGGTTAGGTTTTGAATACTGCAGATCAGGTACCACAGGTTTAAAGCGATGTTTGCAAAATAGAAAGTGAAAAAAAAAGACGAATGCAACATCTGAAAATTGCATCTAGGGGGAAAAGCATTAATATTTGTTCAATTGGTTTTTGTGTTAGTGTAAAGATGGCGGATTTTCTACAATCGTCAGACGCAGATATCTGTTAAGTTCGAAAATTAAAAAGTTTAGATGAGAAGTTTGCAAAGTATTTTTAAAAATTTGACGCCTTTAAGAATCTTTCGAGGTTAGAGTTTTTTCATAAATTTGAAGGAATTCTTTTTCTCACGTCAGAGTGTACAGATGAAATTCTCTGCAAGTTCTCTACAAGAAAACAAACAACAAATAGTAAGAAAAAAGAAAAAAAATCTCGCTGTCTGATGCTCATAGGAAATTGTTTGTGTCAAAAATTTCGAATCTACGTGTGTGAGACGCTCGAATCCATCTCTAGTTTCGAGGTTAGGCGCGTCCCTGTACATCCATCTTGGAAATTCGGAGGTATGTTTGTTAATGGATCAGTGCCGCGAGCGCTCACACACTTGGTTTAATCCTTTCGTAAGAGCCTATTCATCGTCAGTGACCTTTGACCAACGCTGATAGGCCAGTTATTTTTCGTCGCTATCGCGGCTCGAACACCCTCTTGATCAGAGATTCTCTCGAGACGGATGCCTTTTCGGCTAATATTCGCTCGATGAACAGGGCTTGCTCCTCGATTACTTCGAGTGGATTCTGAAGATCGATTCATTAAGGTCGAGAATGTAAACTCAAGTCTTATGATTGCCTTGGTGGAGCAGATTTTTGTTAATACGTGCTTTTGTAGTTAGAAATTTTATAAATGCAAGAAACTTCTTATGTACGAGTATATAAAATATTCTTCAGAAAATTATATCGTGTAAAATACTTCTCAGAAAATTGATTTTCTTTTTTCTGTAAAATCATGAGGCCCCACGCCCCATACGGACGAAAATTTCATTTCTTTAAATGAAAATTTAATTTTCTATTTTTTTTTCCTTTCATGGATGTCATGTTCTTTGGAAGCTTGTTTAGGCCAAGTTAATGTTTTTAGGCTCCCTTCACGTCAAAAATTCACTTTTTGAATAATAAAAATTATGTATCACAGAGATGGGGCATCAAGATAAAAAAAAAAAAATGGTTGGAGACCATTGCTTTAAAGTAACACTTAATCAGTGTTTTTAGCACTGACTAACTTTGCAACTAACTAAAAATTCTCTAGAACATTATTTTAATAAACATAGCCTTCTATGTTAGAATACTGTTTCAATAAAAATAATTTTCTTATAAGAAGGTTATTTTTATTTAAGAAGTACAAATACTTTCTTATTTACCCATATAAACGTTACTTTTGAACTACTATCTACCATTTCGCTTAAAAAACCACAAGTACCAACATAACGAAACTCCGCCCCTCGAATAGTGACTATAACCTCAAATCGCGCTTTGAAACGTCGGAGAGTTTTAGATATTAGAAATTCGATTCTCCGCGGAAGTGGATCGCGAGTGGATTCTTTGACTTCGATTGACAAACGGTCTGATTACTTTTGGGAATACAGGAAAGATAGGAAACGCGAATAGTCATAGCTGAAGTGAAGCCCCAGAGGCTTGTATTGGAGACCACGCTGTCCTAAACGAGTTTGGGTTACCGGAATGGTAATAGTTACCGGTGATCTGCTTTCGGAATTTTTGCCAGCTGGCTGCTGTGTGGTGGATTCTCCACGCGTCGTATACCATATCGCGAAACTTTTCGGTATCGCGTTTCCTTTATTTGGTCGGTGCACGTCATTTGACACGTCGTTTTCTCCGATGAAATTTTAACCACGATTTTTTGTCTTTTTGCCTGCCACGTGTTATACGTACCTATTCCCATCGAAATTGCCTCTCGGCACGGTCCAATGCATTTTTCACCGTTTCATCTCGTTAGCTTTATCACCTAATTTCAAATTCCACAGTGAAGTTGCGAACACAGAGCGTAGTTTCGGCCGCCGTGAAATTTCATTTTCGACGATTTCATTGCGAACGCGAAACACGTCGATTGAAGTGGAACATAGAATGTACAAGTTCCTTTTTTTTTTTCTTTTTTTGCAAATCTTTTATTCGAGGGTGCTTAACATCGGAATTATTACGGTTTTATTCTGCGTATGTTCGAAGAACAAATATAACTTTATTAGTGGACTAAAACTAAAATTTCAGATTTTTACTTATGCAGAAAACGACAGTACTTTTACTCAAAGCTAATGATATTTTCATCGTGCTAGTTTGTCGCAATTCTTAGACTATTAATAAACTCAACTGCTCGCGGTATTTTTTATTCTTCAACATCTTACATAGCAGTGATTCCCAACTTTTTTTTTGGCCATGCCTCACCTGAGCATCTTTAAACTCTTGGTATCCTATCCTTGTGACACATACACTCTTATTATTCAAAAAATGACGTGGAGGAAGCCTAAAAGCTCCATTAACTTGGTCTAAACAAGCTTCCAAAGAACACGAAAGAAAAAAATTAGAAGGTTAAATTTTCATTTAAATTTAAAGAAATGATGCAAAAAAATTATCCCTTTAGAAACTCAAATTGTTTCTCCTGTGGGCCCCACGTTGGGAACCACGGACATACAGTATGACGTTTTGTTTCACAGTCCGCCATTACAATTAGGGATTGCCAACTTTAAAAAGAAAAGAATAAAAAAGAAACAGATTGCGGGAAATGTTGTATTTTAATTCTTTTTGTCGTCATCTAATAATAATTGCTATCAAATTATACATAATTAATCACACAATTTAAAAGATATTTCTCAGAAAATAAACACTAATCTTCCTCTAAACTATGATCTTCGAAAGAGGACATTTGATAACTTATAGATCCGTAAAGAAGACTTTCTGGCTCTGAAGGTAAAAGATTCAAAGCATGAGTCCGGCGATTCTTGATGAAAATTCGGAAAGTCGAAAATCTTTGTTGCTCGATATTCGATTCAGCTTCTAGGTAAGCCATCGTGCAGCGTTTCGAATCTTCCTGAGAAACTTTGGGATATTCCCTGGAGCTGTACGAGCTTCGTCCCGTCTTCCAACCTATCCGCCTGACTTTCGTGACTCCAGAGACTACCTCGAGACTAGAGACCGTGCTGTCAACATGTTCGTCTCTAACATACACGTAACTCGTCCGGAAGAACGTTGATACGAGCACATCTGATCAAGATCCCCAGATGATACGCAGGGTGATCTTCCTACTATTTCACTAGAAAGGTTGAAACTTCCTGTCTTTCAACTACTCCTCGTAGTACTCTCTAGAATCAGAGAATTAGGTTCACTATAATCATATAATATTTGATATAATTATAATATAATTACAATATATTATAATGTAATATAATGTAACATATGTATGTAATGTATCATAATTATAATAAATATCATAATAATTGTAATAATATATTATAATAAATATTATAGTTATATAGTAGGTTATATAATTATATAATTATTATAATCATAACATTATTATACAATTATGTAATATTGCAGGATTTTTTAGAATTTAGAAATTTACAGTAGAATCTCTTAATTGGTCCTCACTGTACCCTAGGATTATTTAGAATTTTTTTAAATTTAGACAATTGTAGGATTTTTATACAAGATAGGCTAAAAATTTCTTCTCGCCTAATTCTTTTTAGGAACATTAAAATGTAAGAAACTAATTCTATTAATTTTAAATTGAATTCAAGTTCAAACTTGATTGTTTCTTGTGTACTTTAATCTGTAAAAAAAGAAAATTTTTTTAAATATTAATAATAAAAAAGTTATGGATTTATTTTAGTAGGAAGTGATTTTTGGCCCACTCTGTATAATTGTAATTGAAGATTACATGATAGTATTGTAGAATTTTTCTAGAATTTTGAAATTACAATAGAATCTCTTGATTCTCTTGATCCTCACCGATACTCTAGAATTACTTTTTCTAGAATCTTTTTAGAATTTAGATAATTGCAGATCTTTTCTGGAAGGATGGAAAGATATAAATCTTCAACATCGATAGAATAAATTAAAATTGGTTTTAAAAATTATTTGCACACTTATTGAGTTTGCTATAGCATTAACACTGTTGTTGAAAAGTGTCAAGACACTTTTTACTTTTAATATTAAATATTCATCTTAATATAGATCTTCGATTGCACGTGTATTTTTGTATTATATAATACGTTTATAATTAATATGTATTATAATTAATATGTAAATACTCTGCAAATTCTTTGTTGCACAAATTTGATTTGAAACATAACCTAGCTTAAGACTTCTGAGCAAGGGTAAACATATCACTTTATTCCATTCACTTTAAGCAAACTATATAGACAAGCATTCTCAAAATTGTTATTTATTACTCTTCGCGATATTATTACCCTAAAAATTAAGTAAGTGAGAGTTTTTTTCGAAATGTTTCTTTGGAAATTAGAAAGCTCTTCGTCACGTATCAGTGACCTTCCTTTTATTGATCAATTACCTTTTCTCTTTTTTTTTTAAAGTGATTAATGCATGAAATTAAAATAGAACCAGACAAGTGACAGTATAGAGTAAATTATGTCTGTAGCAAGGATAGTTTCTTGTAATAGAGTTACTTAATATTTAATAAGCTACGTGGTTGTAAAGATGTATTTATGTCGGAATGGCGTTAGGTCGATTTCATAGGATTAGGTCAGCACATTATCTCGATGCATTTTTGATGAGCCACTGCAATAGCGTGACGTGATACGATTCGGGAATACGCGTTGTGATTCGTAGAATCAACGTTTTAGTAGTTCTGGACAGCCTGATGAAGTTTTCGAATCTGTTAGATCAATTATTTATCAACAACGAGAACATTTGAAAAGAAGAATTTTTCTCATTGACGCTGTTAATAGTTAATAGTTGATTTCACCATTGGTATCATAATCTTTTAAGAAAGTATTATACAATGAGTGAAAGGAACAGAGGATGTAAGTAATGTAAATAATGTGTAAAGATAGGGAATCATATAAAATATAATTAGTCAAACAATAAATCAAGGATTGAGAGGTCAATAACACACTTACACAGACTGGTAAAATTAAAATATAAACTTCTGAGTGTTCAAAAAGTCAAAATGAATGTTGATATAAAATTGAATCAGTCCTATAGGATGAAAGAAAGATGTATTAAAATTTCAATAGTATAATAATTGCTGCTGCTAAAACTGATGATGAAGATAGAATTAATTACAGTTACAAATATTATCAGATCACTAATATTATATGTACAATAAATGTAGATAATCTAATTCACAGATAAATTGTCACAAGTATATGAGAATACAGAATTACTTAATATTACATAATAATATTAATATAGATCATTAATATTATACATAGTAAATATAAATAATTCATAGATAAATTAACTGAACAAATCATTTAATATTACATATAATGGATCTCTTAGATTTAATTTATAATCATTGTACAATTAAATGTATTGTCACAAAAAGTTTTTAAAGTTGCTAAATATTTTAAGAATTATTTATTATTTAGTTTGTAAATATTGTCTGCAATTTAATCCTTATTGTGCAGTAAATCCAAGTTAGTAGTAAAAAAAGTGAAGATTCAGTAGAGTATATGTACAGTATATCAAACTCAGGAGATTAGTAAGATTTAGAATCCTTAGAATTAGTTGCACGTGTTACAAAAAGTCTTCAAAGTTGTTAAATATTTTAAGAATTATTTATTGTTTAGTTGTAAATATTGTCTGCAATTTAATCCTTATTGTGCAGTAAATCCAAGTTAGTAGTAAAAAAAGTGAAGATTCAGTAGAGTATATGTACAGTATATCAAACTCAGGAGATTACTAAGATTTAGAATCCTTAGAATTAGTTGCAAAAAGTCTTCAAAGTTGTTAAATATTTTATTCATTTATTACTTTACTATATCAAGAGTCAGCTTACTGAATTCATCAAGACAAGAAGCGTTTAATAAGATTGAATTATGGCTTGTGGTAATCAGTTAAACTCAAGAGATAAATAAGAGCATATTGAGATCAAAGTGTTAGAGAAAGTTCATCAGAGTTGTTAAATATTTTACTTCATCATGTCAAGATGCTGTTAATAATTCCAATGCATTAAATGAAATCTAAATCAGTGACAGAAAGTGAGGATTCAGGTAGAGTCGAATAATCAAATAAACTCTAGAGGTGGATGGAGGTTATGAAATATCTTACCACCTGGTTGGTCACATCAGAACTCACCCATCTTTGGTAAATTCAAGCCCCAATGGAAAGAAGTGTAGGCAAAGTGGATTCCAGTTAATCGTCAGCGTGTTTTCGGTGTTTCCTCCTGTGGTGAAGTAACGAAGCGTAAACCCACGGCACTTTCCCTCTCGTTCACACTTCTGTCCCCGGTGCTTATGCACAGTTTGTTACGTCCTCAATTCAAACGTGCCGCGAATGAATTAACTAGCGGGGAGAGAGTTCGTCAAGAGGACCGACAGTCACGTACCCACGCTCGTGTGTTTTTCGTCCTCGCACGAGAAAAGAGAGAGAGAGAGAGGGGGGGGTCTATGCTACCTGATGTCAACTTCTTCAGGCAATTGCCCATTAACCCTTTAACAATGTCGCTGAACGACGAGGAACCATCGAGAAAAGAGCCTCCTTCTAGGGGAAAACCAAGTTAGCGGTGGCCAAACTCTGCCTTTCACTCTTTTTCACAAAACTCGGGCTTTTTCCTTTGAATCATTGAACTTTCAAATATTTGGCTATTTGGATATTTGGATTTTTGAATTTTCGTACTTAGATCTCTGGATCCTTGAATTTTTGGTTACTTGAATATTTGGTTGTTTGGATCTTCCTGAATCTGTCTGGATCTTTAGATCTTTGGATTTTTAAATCTTTCCATCTTTTTTGTATCTTTTTTTGAGTCTCCTATAAAAATCCGCCTTTTTATTAGCGAACGAAGTAAATATGTGATAATAAATGAAAGAAATACTCCAATGAAACGACAAAATATTACTCACAGACAATAAAAATAAATGTCCAGAATTTCTAACAGGTAATGAGTACCAACGTTTTTTTTTTTTTTTTTTTTTTTTGAGAAGCTCAAAATGGAGACGTTATTTTTGGCGTCAGAATCAAAATCTGCCACTGAAGGAACATCAGGGTTACGGAATGAGTCGAGAGCAATTAATTGCCCGGATATTTCATCGAAGAACGATCCGGTTCGATCGTTGAATGGAAATTTCCTGCCAGTTGGAACGATGTTAATTTTCAACGAGAATTAAACACGATTGAGGTTCTTCCTCCCGCTCTCGAGAATCTGTCCCTTCGCCTATATGCTGCTACAATCCGATCGTTTAATCGTATTTCGCGATCCTATTAACGAAATTTCTCAAACAGCGCCGAGGAATCTTTTTCTTTTCTCTGTTCTCTCACCTAAGAGAATTAACTGTTAACTCTGGATCTCGTTCCTTGATCTCGAAAATCTGTTTTTTTTTTTTTTTTTTTTTTTTGAATGTCGAAAATTAACAAATTGATCTGTGTCTTTGGCGATTTCGATTTTTCGATAAGACGAATGCAGTATAATTCAATTTCTAAACTTCTGAAATTTAATTCGTAACTTCCTGTCCCCTTAACCTAACCTAAACCTAACCCAAAGCTGAGAGTTCTAGTAATTCTACATTCTGTTTTATGTAACTGATCTGTCTCTAAAAAGTGTTGATTCAATTATTGTTGATTGTAAGTTTTCCAAATATAAGTAGAGTTACAGTTTCTATGTTCTTAATTTTTTTTATTCATAAGGCTAGAAAGTTAGTGATTTCGTATAACCTTAAAAGTTATCTGTTTCTGAGAAAACTCTGCGTTATTAAGTTATTCAATTATGAAATGGAAATATATTCTTAATTTAACAAACAAATATAAATAACATAAAATTTATTAAAAATTTTGAATTCAAAAGTGATATTAAAGTTAAATAATAATAAAAAAATGTTAATGTAATTGGAGATAATGATGAAATTAAGTGATATAAGTATAATAAATAATCTAAATATAAGTAATAATTGAGTAACATAAATATAATAAATAATCTAAATATAAATAAGTACAATATTACTTTTGCTGTTAAAAGTTAGTGATTCTGTAGTTTCAATTTTGTTTATTTATTAGCAACCCCAGAGTTAAAAAAAGTAACCAACTTAACTCTGCCGAGTTCGATTATTCCAAAAATATAAATGCAATAAAATTTTTTTTCAGTAAAAATGAATGAATTTACCCATAGAAATATAAAAATAAGGTTAGCAATTGATAAGCAAAAAGTTAGGTTAGTTACATTAAATTAACATTAAATCACTTGATAAATTTTCATTTATTTAAATCTTATGGCTTACTTTTCAATAATTCTAGTTTATACATATAATCTCTAGTTTAAATAATACTGTTTTTGTTAGTTTTTAAATTTTAATAGCTCTTTTTATATTCTACGATACTTTTGAATGAAACTCGAAAGAAATACAGAAGTAAGGTTAGGAATTGAAGGTCAAGTAAAACAAAAGAAAAGTTAGGTTATCAAGTTAATATTTAACATTTAAATTTTCATCTCATTTATTAAATTTCGTGATATTCGCCTTTCAGTTGATATTCACGAAACTTTCCGCCATTATTTCAAACCACGAAGTTTAATAAGTTAACAAAACCGCGAAATTTGAACGTGAAAAGAGGTGGAACTTTTTGCAGTAGAAAAATCCGTATGTTAAAAGGTTGATACGATTTTTCCCGGAACGTGTGGGGCTTTGGTGTGTAATTAAACGATAAAGGCGTTTGATCGCGCTACTTCCTCCTTTTTATTTTTTTTTTTTTTTTTTAATATTAGACTGACAAATATAAAATTAGCACGCGGAAATTTAAAGCACACGGTGCCTTAAATTTCGTCCGATATTCGATATTGTTTATAAAATTGTTGGAACCTGTTTATTCGCCGAACTTTTTTATCGGTTTTCGACCGAGAAAAAATCTATAAAACCTAAAAAAAAAAGAAGCTCACGTAAATGTTAGGACGATTGGATTGATCTTCCCAACATTTTCAGTTTTAGTAGATTTTTTTTTTTTTCGAGCTAAATTAAGAACGATAATTCTTGAGTGGAATTTTACGTGTTTTTAGTGAAAAGTTGATACGAAATTTCTTTAATCATTTTACAGTTGACGATTATTAATTTTCCCGATCAAAGATATTAAACGACCTGTAAGTTTTCTTTTTTCTTCCAAAGAGTTTCTTCTTTAAAATGTTTTCGAAATTTCCTTCAAATTTCTTGATATCTTTAATTTCTAAATTTCTTAGTATATTTGAATGATATCTATCCGAGAAATTTCTTCCTTTTTGCACCTACAAACATCTTTATGGATATTGAAAAATTTTTTTCGTAACTAAGTTCATCGTAGTCCTGAAGACTAAAGTCTCCTTACAAAAATCTCTCAAAAGCCATAAGCATTTAAAATATCGATCATTTTTTATCAAAAGTATATGAATATATCTTTTTTTTTTTTAATTATATTTCATCTCGCATCGATTTCTTGATTATTGATAATCACTTACGTTACAATTTGTATGAATGCATTATTTAGATTACGTTATACTTGCATAAATATCTTATTTACATTCCGCAGATTATTCCGAGTTCATTAGCATGTAAAGTTGGTATAAGTATTTACATACATAAATATATATGTACATATACGTATGCATATTCAGTATACAAATCGATACATCGTGTACTTCTTTCTACATTCGCTAGATTACTAAGATTTTAGGTTATGTAGTGAATTTTATATCATGCTAGATTACTAAAATTTTAGGTTATGTACTGAATTTTATATCATGCTAGATTACTAAAATTTTAGGTTATGTATTTAATTTTATTTATATCATGCTAGATTACTAAAATTTTAGATTGTGTATTTAATTTTATATCATGCTACATTACTAAAATTTTAGGTTATGTACTGAATTTTATATCATGCTAGATTACTAAAATTTTAGGTTATGTACTGAATTTTATATCATGCTAGATTACTAAAATTTTAGGTTATGTATTTAATTTTATATTATGGCAGATTATTAAAATTTTAGGTTATGCAACTTTTTGTTTGCATCTTACATTCTCCCTGGTTTAGTAATAAAATTAAATTGAATCAGGAAATTTCAAAGCAATGTAACACGAAAACTTAAATTGCTATGGCTTCCAATATTTAATAATGCCAGTTAAGGCATCGATTATTGTCATCTGATGGCGAATTGATACGGTAACATGAGTATTCGTCAATGTAACTAGAAGGCTTAGAGATTATTAATAGGCTGTGAATATATATTTGTGAACTTATTTTATCAAAAATTTTGGAACTTTGTAAATATTGAAAAAAATATTTATCATGACTGCGGATTTTTATGGATTTGTGGAAAATTTTTAAATTCAAAATTGTACGGAACACACATGTTACAATATGTACAAATATATAAAATATTCGAAGTCTATAGTATTTTCTTTAATATTCGATATGTGAAACAATGTTATAATTTTTTTTTTTAAAATATGTAATTTGCATTAAAAGCCGCAGATGAAATAAATTTTTCTCGAGAATCGATCTCTTTTAGTTACATTCTATTTATTAATTTTATTAAATTTTACAAGGCACAATATTCCCGAATGTAGTAACTAAACACGTATTCATTATTGCTGACAAGCACGTTACGATACAATTATTTGGAAACACTTTGAAATGGCAGTTTCCATTCTCAAAAACGTTTCTGCCTTAACAACGTTTGCTTCGACATGCGTTTTCTCCCAAGAGAGATCCCAAGAGAGATTATTATTATTGACAGAGGCCATCAGAGTAGTCCATTTCATAACACTAAATTATACACACAAGGAGAAAATTGCATACTAAATTACGCGAAGACGTAATACTGACAGTGAGTACAAATATCACAGTGTGAATTGATCATCCTGTTTCTTTAATAACGAAGAAAACAAAACGAATCTTCCACCAGAAGTAGAATCTAAAACGTTCAAGTAGCTTGCGAGCTAAAATACAGGACGTTCCACGAGTTGGGGACCAGAATTGGACATTGTAATTGATGAAAGTTTTTAGTTTGATTAATGATGACTGATTAATGTTTGTAGCTGATAGAATTAATCGTCGAGGATTAATTTGGTCGATAAATAAAATTAATCGTCGGTTGTTGGTTAAAGGAAATTGATTGTTGAAAAATGTAGGCGAGGAAACATATTGCTTCACTTTAAAAATCGAAGATAATTTTCTTTGAAATCTTCAAAACTCATTTTTTTCTTTAACTTGAAGCATGATTCTTTTATATTCTTCTATACACGATTGTACAAATCGAATGT